CACAACGAGGTCGACCGCCACACGTTCTTCACTCGCAACCCAACAGATGTGACAACGTGCGTTTTCCGACCGTGGTCGGGAGATCGAATCGCGTGCGGGTGGGCAACAGGGGTGCCCCCTCATAGGGGCATGCCATGCTGTGGTCAAGCGCATGGTCCATGAGAGCCAGGGGTTGGTAGAACCACTGGCGGGGGCCACGGTGCATGTGCCTCGCATTGCCGAGCCCGTGTTTTTGGAGATAGCGCCATTCTTTGCACACGATGGGGTGATTGCCGGCTCGTCTGGCGAGGTGTTGCGAGCACTGGCGCAGATGAAACGGGTGATGCCGCTGGTCGGGTTTAAGTTTTCGCAGCTGCAGGTGGTAAAAGTCACAGGCGGAGGTCAGCCAGCAGGGGACTTCTCGCAGTTTGCGGCTGAAGGTTGTGACCCAATACTGACTGGCAACATCGAAATCCTGAAGTCGCCAATCGGAGACGAAGCATTCTCGCGAGAATATTGCATGGCGTCCGCCACGAAGCAACGGTGGACCTTGAACTTCCTGGCAGACTTCGGTGACGCGCACACCACGTTCTACCTGATCAAGGGGTACGTGAACGGCAGCCGCCTGAGCTTCATGATTCGGACGCGGCCGTGCAACAACATGCTCCCGGCGGCGACGACGTTCGACAACGATGCCGCCGACACCCTGTCCGCTGTGTGCGGGTGAATGTTCTCGGCCAGGCAGCGCGCCCGCATCGTCCTCGCGGTCAAGCAGGGCGGGCTTGGCCTGCGGACGGTGGCAGAGCGGGTGGACGCTGCCTACGTCGCGTCCCTGTCCGCCACCAACGCCCTCTGCGCTGGGATCCGCCCAGGACACCGGGGTTTCGGGCACGGCCGCGACCCGCTGCTGGGCGCAGCCGTCGAAACGCTGGCCCCGACACTGCTTGACGCGAGTGTCCTAAGTGAGGACTCCTTTGTTGTCGTGACGCAGGCCAAGCTCAACGACAACATCGATGCATTCAACGCCCGCGCGTGGAAGGAGGCCGCCGAGCCCGTGGAGCTAGTGCACGCGAGTGCATACTCAGCCCCTGGAGGCGGCCAGGAATTGGGTATGGTACCATCGAAGACGCTTGACACACGCCTTTTGCAGGACGATTTCGCGACTGCTGTTGCCCTTCGTCTTGGAGTCGACGTCATGGATGGGAACGTCCCTTGCCCGTTGCGCGGTGAGCTGTTGGATTCTGGGGGACTGCACGCAGCGTCGCGTATGTCCGGAGGCGACGCCACTGCCCAGCACAATGGCGTGCGAGACGTTTACTTTGATTTCTGCGAGCGGGCTGGGCTCCGCCCACTGAGCGAAGCACCGCGTGTACTGAGGGAAGTGCTCGGGCGGGACAACAGACGGAGGCAAGCAGACATACTGTGCATCCCCGCGCTGGCATTGCCCAGGCGCCTCCCTGATGGTTCGCGCGCGATTCGGACAGAGCCTGTCTGTTTCGATTTCGCTGTCATTAACGCCTCGGGGGCTGGCCACTGGCAAGACACAGCTGCAGGGGCCGGTGCAGCGGCGGAGAGGTACGACCAGAGGAAAAGAACCGACCAGAACACGGAGCAGCAGTGCCTGGCAGCCGGTTTTCGATTCTGGCCCGTCGCCCACGAGACGCAGGGCGGGATGGCCGCGGCCGCTTGCGTGGCTGTCCGGGCCATCGCGGCGGCGGTGGCTGCCCAAGAGCGCCGGGAGGCAGCTTCGGTCAGGAGGGGGTTGCTGTCCCGCGCGGCAGCGGTGATCGCTCGCAGCACAGCCAGGGCTATCAAGAACAGGAGAGCCCTGAGGCCGGCAGCCGACGTGCCGCCAGCAGTCCGGCAGATCATGCGGGACAGGGACGGGCCGGACGACGTGTAGACAGCGCGGCCGCCTTTCCCCTCTCTCCGCTCTTCCTCCTGCGCCCCCTCCTCCCCCTCCTACTTCCCTCCTTTCCTTCAACGCGAGTCGAGTTTGAGCATGTATTCTAGGGTTCTGCGCGAGAAGGCCTTGCGAACCCCGCTTCCCAGCCGATCGGCGGCCTGCAATTTTCGGGCGCGGGCGCTGACGTTTTGGTGCTTATTTGGGCCCGTTTCTTCTCTCTTTCCTCGGCTCCTCGCTCTCTTGGCTCTGTTCCCTTTCCTCGCTCCTTCCCCTTCCCTGTCCGTCGGCCTGGTATGTCCTTTCCTGTCGCCTTGTTCCCTTTCGTCTTTCTCGCTCCTCGGCCCCTCGCCCCTCGGCCCGTTTTTGTTCCTTCTCTGGCCCGCTTTTCTTTGTCGGCCCGCCCCGTGGTCCGAATCAGAGATGCAGGCCTGGATGGGCCCTCAGCATTGTTCGCGTTTGTCTGTCCAGCGGGCAGGACTTGCGAGTTGCCTGAGGATCTTGACAGCGTCGTGGGCCGCATTGGGGCTATCTTGTGGCCGATTTGGGTAAACGTTGAGGCCTCTTGGGGCACTCTTGGCCTCCTTGCAGGCCGTCAAGGACCATCTTGGAAGCCGTCTTGGACGTCTTGGATGCGAGATCTCTGAACGTTCCGGTCGATTCCGCGGGGCTTGCGGCTTGTATTGGAGGCCACCATGAACCGTTTGGAAGGGCAAGATTGGCACGCCAGCACCCTTCGGCATGCTACAGGGGCTGCGGATCGAAGGTGCCTACGGCGAATCACCGCCGCCCCCTGCTCTTTTGGAAGCGCTTATGTGGCCGACATCTGGGTTAGAGTTTGGCCAAGCTATCGGGCCACTTGTTCCCCGAAAAGGTTTGGAAAGCCTTCGGGGAACGCGTGGGGGAGCAAGACGAGGAGGACCAGGAGAGGGAGGAGAATGATGATTAGGAGGAGGATAAGGATGAAGATGAGGATTGGGATGATGGATGAGGAGGAGGAGAAGGAGGAGAAAGCCTCTTGGGAGCCTCTCAGGGCACTCTTAGGGTTTCGTGGGAGCTTCCTGGGAGCCTCTTGAAGGCCTCTTTCGGGCCTCCTTTGGCCTCTTGGGGGCCTTTGGTGGCTTCTTGGGGACTTCTTTGGCCGTCTTAGGGCATTCCTGGCCCGTCTGACGCCGTCGTAAGCCGTCTTGGGGGCCGTTTGTGGGCCCTTCTTGGAGCGCCTGAAGGCCGTCTTGGAGACCATATTGCGCGTCTTGGAGGCCACTCGGGCCGTCTTGGGGCCCTCTTGGGGGCGTTTTGGGGGCGTCTTGGGCCGTCATGGGGCCATCTTGGAGGCCTCTTGGGCGGTCATGGGGCGATCTTGGGGGCCTCTTGGGCCGTCTTGGGCCGTCGGAAGGCCGAAAAGGCGCAAATGTCAAAATGTTTCAAAAGCCTTAGGAAAATCCATGTGCTTCGCCTCTTCGGGCCTTCTAGAGGACCTCTTGGAAGCGTCTTGGGCCGTCTTGGAGGCCTCTTGGGGGCCTCTTGGGCCGTCTCGAGCCATCTTGAGACTACCTTAGGCCGTCTTCGGTGCATCTTGGGCCGTCTTGGAGGCATCGTGGGGCCATCTTCGCCGTCTTGGAGGCCATCTTGGCCGCCTTGGGGGCATCTTGGAGGTCATCTCGGGCCATCTTCAGCCGCCTCGGGAGAATGTTTCCGGGAATTGGGCGCCTTTCGGGTGGCCAGCGGGCTGGGCCGAAGCTTCAGGGAGAGTCCGTTTGGAAAAGAGCCAAAATCCAAACCAAAAGGATCCACCACGCCAGGCACCCCTGTGATGAATCAACAGGGGGCGGCGGATCGAAGACGCCTACGGCGAATCACCGCCGCCCCCTGCCTTTTTGGAAGCGCCTATGTGGCCGAACGTTGAGGCCAGACCTGCCAAGCTATCGGACCACGTGTTCCCCGAATCGGTTTGGAAAGCCTTCGGGGAACACGTGGGCATCTTGAAGGTCATCTTGGCCGTCTTGGAGGCCTCTTGGGCAAGCTTTGGGCGATCTTTGGGGCTTTTTGGGCCGTCTCGGGCCAGCTTCGAGCCAACTTCGGCCATCTTGGTGGGTTCCTGGCACGTCTGAAGCCGTCGGAAGCCGTTTGGGGGGCCTCTATGGGCCGACTTGGGGCCCGCTTGGAATGCTCCAGGGCCGTCTTGGAGGCCATCTTGGGCGTCTGGGAGGCCATCTTGGGCGTGTTGGAGGCCTCTTGGGCCCTCTTGGGGCCCTCTAGGGGCCATCTTGGAGGCCACTTGGGCCATCATGGGGCTCTCTTGGGGGCCTCTTGGGCGATCTTGGGGGCTTCTTGGGCCGTCTCGAGCCGTCGGAGAGCCGAAAAGGCGCAAATGCCAGAATCCTTCAAAAACCAATGAAAATCAATGATTTTGGCCTCTTCGGACTCTCCTGGAGGACCTCTTGGAGGCCTCTTGGGCCGTCTGGGAGGCCTCTGGGGGGCCTCTTGGGCCGTCTTGGGCCGTCTTGGACTCTCTTGGGCCGTTTTGGAGGCCGTCTTGGACCATCTCGGGCGGACTTGGAGGCCATCTTGGGCCATCTTCGCGATTTTTTGAGGATGTCCCGAGCGAAACGGCCGTTTTTTGGAGGATTTTTTCCGGTCGTTGAGCACCTTCCGGGTGGCCGGCGGGTTCTGCCGGAGCCCACTGGGGAGTTCTTTTGGAAAAAGAACCAAAACCAAAACCTGACAGCTCATCCAGCACGCCGTGCACCCCTGCAAGCAGGGGGCGGCGGATATAGTGGCTTTCGGCCTATCCCGCCACCGCGCCTCGGTCGTGAACCAAATTCCTCTTACAGGCATCTTTGGGTCTGTTGGGAGGCATTTCGGGATCCTCTTGGGGAGCCCTTGGAAATCCATTGGAAGCTTACGGGGTCCTATGCATGATATAGATTGGGACCTGCATCATTTCGACGAAACGGCACGAAGTGGATCCCCGCTCGGCCGCGAACGCTCCCCAGGATCGGGCGGTGGGCGAGCGATCGCGCCTGGGCGCGCGATCTGCAAGGCACGCCTCGCCCTCCTGGTTCCCATCGGCGGCAACGGCAGCGGACGGTTTCGGCGACAGCGGACGGGTGGCAAGGAGGAGACCGCCTTCGAGCAGAAGTCGTCGATGGGCGGGTGCTCCGACGGCGAGTCCGCCGCTCCTCGTCCCGCCTCTCCCCCGGCGCCTCCCCGCTTTCTGGCTTTCTGACGCCCCGGGCCTTGCCCCCCTGCCCAACGCAGCCATTGGCGGCGAGCGTGGGCACTGCCGCAGACACCCCCTCCTCCTCCTCCTCCTCCTCCTCCTCCTCCTCCTCCTCCTCCTCCTCCTCCTCCTCCTCTCTCCTTGTCCTCCTCGTCCTAGTAACTACTACTACTACTACTACTACTACTATACTACTACTACTACTACTACTACTACTACTACTACTACTACTACTACTACTACTACTACTACTACTACTACTACACTACTACTACCACTACTACTACTACTACTACTACTACTACTACTACTACTACTACTACTACTACTACTACTACTACTACTACTACTACTACTACTACTACTACTACTACTACTACTACTACTACTACTACGTAGCCATTTTGGCTCAAGGCCATGCATTCCCAGCGGGTGCAAGTCACGTTGTGGCGCTGCGAGCACTCTGGGGGAGTGCTGGCGGAGCCAAAATCCTCTTTCACGATTCAGTGCGATCAAGTCTGCCGCCCCAGTCCTTGCGCGCTATGGGCAGCCATGGGCGCGGAGGCGCAGAGGGAGCAGCGGTTGTGCTCCGCGGGCCCAAGTCACCGCTGTGGCTGTGCTCCTGCGGCTGCGCATCCAACTGGGCCAGCAGGCTCAGGTGCCGTGAGTGCGACCGGCGTTGCTCCACCACGATCGAGGACGCCGCCAGGAAGGCTCACAAGGAGGCGCTCAAGGGCGGGCCCAAGCCAGGCAGCCACCCGCAGCCCCGCGGTGCATGGGCGCGGCAGAAGCTGGCCCCTTGGGAGCATGACAAGCTCCAGAGGCAGGACAGCGAGCTGGCTGCCCTGCGGCAGCAAGTCGAGGCACTCAAGGCCGACAGCGCCAAGGCCAAGCTCACTGCACTCAGCGACCTCAGGGAGGAGCTGCAGCTTGGAGGAGGAGAGCAGGCCACGAGCTGCGTCAAGGCCGTCGAGGCCAAGTAATCAGAGCCGCCTAAGCCCAAGAGCCTCCCAGCCTTGGAGGGACAGCGCAGGAAGCTCGAGGGCCAGCTCCAGAAGGCCCTCTCCAAGGTGGCGGAGCTCGAGGACCAGCGCGGCAAGCTCGACCAGAGGATCAGCGAGGCCAAGGATTCGGCCGCCGAGCTCAAGTGCAAGCTGCAGGCGGCGGACGCCGAGATCGAGTCCCGCCATGCCGCTGGCGTCCTCGGCGACGGGCTCAGGGGCCTGGCCAAGGTGCTGGAGCAGTTCAAGGCTACGGCTGTGGAGAACCAGGCAGTGTTGCAGGGCCTCATCCAGCTGCAGGACGTCATCAAGAAGGAGCAGGAGACCCTGGAGGCAGCGGACGACGCTGCACCTGGTGATGGCGATGGTGATGACGCTGCTGTCCCAGGCAGCGGGGAACCACACGAGGGTGTCCCTGGCAGCGCTGGGTCAGGGGGGGTGTCTGTCCCCGTCCCTGACGAGCTTGTCGACAGTCTCATGGAGGACGCCCCAGAAGGCGAGAGCGTCGAGCAGCGACGCAAGCGCTTCAGCGACATCATCGAGGCCCAGCTCAGGCGGCCTCGGGTTTGATAGCATGTGGCTATACACTGTCAACGCGAACACCGAGAAGGGCGATCGCGACTTCCTCGACTGGCTTGACAGCCAGCACAGCCTCGTGGAGGCTGGGCCGAAGAGGCTGCCAGTCGCAGACATCACCTTCGTGCAGGAGACGCGTGCGCGTGCTTGTGGCAGGGAGGCAGTCCAGCGTTGGCATCGGAAGCGCGGGCTCGACTTCGACCTTGCCGCAGGACTCAGCACGGGGGACGGGCCTCAGGCAGTCTCAGGCGGGGTAGGCATCGGAGTGCGGCAGCGGTTCGCGGCAGCCACGCTCGACGCCGCTTTCAAGCAGCCCCACCGCGTGCTGCGGCGGGTTGTCAACATTGGCGACGGGCTCGCCATCGATCTCCCGTCCATCTGCCTCCGCGACGGGGAGGGCATGAGCGAGGCCAACGCAGACATTATCTGGGAGGTCGCGTCGCAGCTCAGGGTGGCGGTGCGGCCGTGGATCCTGGCGGGCGACTTCAACATGGACCCCCTCAAGGTCGCGGCGTGGGCGGCGACGGCTGGAGGTCTCGCGCTACATACAGGTACGGCGACCTGCAGGGCGGGGTCGCTTCACGAGCTCGACTACGCAGTCATCTCCGACGAGCTCCAGCAGTTCGCGCTCAGCCACGGGCCCGCGATCGAGGCCCCCGTCGGGCCACACAGCCCCGTCCTGTTGGAGGCACGAGGGCTGCGTGCAGACGCCACGGTGCAGCAACTTCATCGGGCAGCGCGGCTGCCGTTCGATCGGGCCATCGGCTGTCTGCCCCGCGCCCCGCTGCCTGCCTGGACTTGGGAGGGGGGCACGCCCACCCCCCCCCCAGGCCGCGAGATGCCATGCAGGAGCGGCTACGGCACGCTGAGGGTTACCTTCTCCCACTCTACGACCTACACGGGGACGAGGCTCAGAAGTTCACTGGCAGGGGCGACGGAGTGCGCTTCGTCAACGCGCCGCTCGCGGACGCCAGCCGCCGCCACCGGGCTCAGCTCAGCCCGCAGGAGACCCACGCCTGGGGCGGCCTGGTCAGCCTGCCGCAGCGCGCAGACCTGCTGGTGGCGCGGGGGAAGGACCCACAGGGCCTGGCCAGCCTGCGTGCACGCCTGGCAGCGCTGCGCCTGGGCGACTACGACGGCACCATGGCCCCTGTGCCCAGGGATGAGCTCGGAGCTGCGGCGACCTCCAGCGACCCGGCTTCGAGGAGGAGGCCCATCGAGCATGCTAGGGCCCAGCAGCAGGCCTGCCAGCGCAGCGACGCAGCTGCCGCCAGGAGGCAGTGGCAGGACTGGGCCAAAGGCTCGACCACAGGCGGGGGGAAGCTCGCCCACCGCTTCTCCAAGCCTGAGCCGCTGGCCAAGGCGACCCTCGTCACGGAGGACGAGGCCGAGGGGGAGGCCCTACCAGTCAACGGCGACGAGGCAGCGCGGCATTGCCTCAAGGAGTGGCTTCCGCTCTGGCTAGACCCTCGGCGCAGAGGAGGCCTCGAGGAAGCGGCCAGCTGGGAGGCGCCAGAGCCGCTGCCGAGGCTCGGGGTGGACAGCCTCAGGCACCTGCTCAAGCGGCACGGGAGGTGGGCAGGCCTGGGCTGGAACCAGCTCCACCCGAGGCAGCTGCTCCTCCTCGACGAGCCCTTCCTCGACAGGCTCCTCGACGTGCTGGCCAGCTGGGAGGACGGTCCCGAGGCCTACTTGGACTGGCTCGCTGCCATCGTCTTCCGCGCCAAGGCGGACGGCGGCAGGAGGCCCATCGCTTTCACCTGCCTCCAGCTTCGCCTCTGGTCGGCCCTGCGAGGGCCCATCGTCAGGAATTGGGAGGCTCAGCGCCACGAAGTTTGGTACATCGGCGGGGAGCTGAACACGTGCGAGAGGGCAGGTTGGGCGCATCAGACCCTCACGGCCCTGGCCTACGAGAAAGGCCTCAGCACGGGCACGGTCCTAAGGGGACCTCCGGAAGTTCTACGAGAATATCAGCCACAAGGAGCTCCTGGTGGAGGCGCAGGACACGGGCTTTCCTGTTAAGCTCCTCAGGGCATGCTGTGTGTCGTATTCTGGCTACAGAGTCATCACGGTCGACGGGGCATGCAGCTCGCCCTTTCGGGCAACTGGCACGGTGCTGGCAGGCTGCTCCTGCGCGACTGGGATAGCCAAGCTGCTCCTCTTCCGTTCTTTCAAGAAGGTGGCGGCCTTCTACCCCAGCGTGCGACTGGGCAGCGTTGTCGACGACTTCACGCTCCAGATTGTGGGCACCACGGGCATGGTCAAGGCAGTTCTGGGCCCCGCCACACGCATGCTGTTGAGCTGATTCGATGAGAAGCGGGTGCCCGTCCACTTCGGGAAGCTCTGCTACCTCACCCCCGACGCAGAGGTGGCGAAGCAGCTGGGGTCGGAGTGGCCCGCCGAGGACGGCAGGGCGCTGCGCGGCAGGCTGCTAGGCAACGACGTGCACGACGGGCGCTGGGGGCGCACCGTCATCGGGGCACAGCGGGTCGAGGATGCTCTTGCAAGGTCTCGGAGGCTGCAGGTGCTGAGGTCAGCTGGAGCCAAGGTGGCCACGGTGCAGAGGGGAGGCCCCACGGCAGCCGCCACCTGGGGCTCGGCCACGACTGGCCTCGCCCCCTCGGTGCTGCACGGGCTTCGTGTAGCCGCAGCGCGTGGAGAAGGGCCTCTAGCGCCAGGTTATTCGGTCGGCCTGCGGCTGAGGTGCTTCCCCAAAGGCATCGAGAGAGACCCAGCGGTGGTGAACGCTGGGCAGGTGGTGCTGCAGTTCGGCATGACGCTCTGGCTGGGCTACCCCACTCCGTTCGCCTTCAACACGCTGCTGGAGAAGGCCAAGCAGCGGTTCTCGACGGCGAGGCGGCCCTGGGCAACCTGCAGAGACCCCGTGGCAGCCTTTTTCCTCACCATCACCAGGCTTGGCTGGACCATCGAGGGCGGCAGGCACGTCACCACCGACCAAGGGCTGGAGGTCGACCTGGCCAGAGTCTCGCCCTACTTCATCGAGGAGCTTGCAGAGGGGGCGGCCAAGAGGTGGTCCGACCGCGACGCCACCTTCAGGCTGTACCCCCACCAGAGCTCGGACCTGTACTGGGGCTCGCTGCAGAGGCTCGGCAGGTCCAAGGAGTCGCTCGGCTGGCAGCAACATCAGCGAGCGGCTCTCCACTCGGTCATTTCAGGCACGGTTCTCTCTCAGACGCGGCTCTACAAGAGAGGGTTGGCCTCCGAGTGGGACTGCCTCATGTGCAGGGGAGCGCCGGGCACGCTCTGGCACAGGCTGTACGGCTGCGATGGTCACGCGGCCTATCGCAAGGACGAGGCCTCACCTGAGCTCCTTCGGCACGCAGAGGTGGCTCGAGCTGCTGGAGGGAACTGCGGCGAGATGTTCGCCAGGTGCCTCTTCCCGTCGCTCGACCACGTGGTCCCGAGGCGTGGCCCAGAAGGGGACCCAGTGCGATGGTATCGGCGCCCAGCCTCGGGGTACCTCACAGGCCTCATCTTCACGGACGGCAGCGCTGTGGGCACGCGGTGGCCCGAGCTGCAGCGTGCTGGCTGGTCGCTCGTGCAGCGCGACAGGCATGGACGCCTTGCGGTTGCTGCGTGGGGATGGGTGCCCCTCCCCATGGCGCCGCGGCAGGAGGTGAGAGATGGCGAGGACTACGCGTACCACATGGCGGCCTTCCTCTGCGAGGGCCACGTCGACTTCCAGACGGACTGCGCTGGGACGGTGGCGTGCGCCCAGAGGGGAGCCGCATGGGCATGTCGCCCAGGGTCGGCAAGGGCCCACCTGTGGAACGCATTCCACGCCTCCTTCGACGGCTCGCGCAGCTACACGGTCACCAAGGTGCTGGCCCACGCCTCCGCCGCCGACGTGGAGGCGGACCGCACGACCTGGTGGCAGCGGGCAGGCAATAGGCTCGCAGACGAGGCGGCGAAGGAGGGAGCGAAGCTGGCGCTGGGCGACGACCAGCTGGACTTAGCCTACGGCCTCGACCTCATCGCACGGCAGGCGATGATCTTCACGGGCAAGCTCCACGCGCGCATGGCGGATCGGAAGCTGCTCGACCACGCCAGCGACGTCATCCTGGAGTTCTCGGAGCCCGAGGCGGGCCACGAGGAGCACGAGACCAGCGGGGGCCACGCTGCCGAGGCCGCTTGGGGGGGCTGCTGGCGCGGCGGCAGGGGCCCTGGCGGCTGCGAGGGCCTCGGCGGAGGGCGACGAGCCCCCTGCAGCTCGACGACCTCGACAGCCGTGGTCGATCGGAGGCCACTCGATCGCCGAGCGAGCCGTCACGGGGCCAGGCACGGACGGCACCACCATGGTCCACTGTGTGAAGTGCTACGCCTACGCTCACCAGCGCATGCAGGGCATCCTCGGGCCGTGCGGCTCGGGGGCAGGTCGCGAGCCACAGATCGATAGGATTCGCAGAGGGCTTTTCCCTAATGCGAAGGGCGGGCGTGGAGCCTGGCGCCTCGGGGAGCAGCCTTTTCCTTCTGAGGCATGGCGTACGAAATTCAGCCAGAGGCTCGCGCCAGCCGCCGCCCCCGAGGCCAGCAGGGCCACGGGCAGCGGGCAGCAGGGCCCTGCTCAGCGCCTGACCCGCTCGCGCGCGCTGTTGCGTTTCGGGGTCGGGCCCGAGCAGGAGGCCGACTTCCTTTCCTGGTCGGCCAAGCAGCGAGCCGATCGGAGGTCCAAGGGAGACCCCGACGAGCTCGAAGGGGAGGCTTCCGACTAAGAGGGTTGGAGGCGCCTCTCGTTTCTCTTGTGGCGCGGAGGCTCGTCCTTTGCAGTGGCCTCTGCAGGATTGGAAAGGCCCCAGCTCAGAGGGTTGGGGGCCCTGACCTCTTGAGGGCTCCGACAAGGTCTCGGGGCCTGCGAGGCAGGCTTGGCGAGGCCCCAACTTAGAGGGTTGGGGGCCATTGACCTCTTGAGGGCTCCGACAAGGTCTCGGGGCCCGCGAGGCTCTGCTCTAGGGTGCCAAGGGCGCCCGAGCTGGACTGGACGGTCCTTCAGGTTGGGGGCTGGGCCGGCTCGGCCAACCCCCCACCTGCCGTGTAGCGAGGCGGTACTACGACTACTACTACTACTACTACTACTACTACTACTACTACTACTACTACTACTACTACTACTACTACCACTACCACTACCACTACCACTACCACTACCACTGCCACTACCACTACCACTACTACTACTACTACTACTACTACTACTACTACTACTACTACTACTACTACTACTACTACTACTACTACTACTACTACTACTACTACTACTACTACTACTACTACTACTACTACTACTACTACTACTACTACTACTACTACTACTACTAAGAATAATAATAAATAATAATAGTTTCTACTACTACTACTACATACTACTACTACTTACTACTACTACTACTTACTACTACGACTACGTACTACTACTACTACTACTAAGAATAATAATACTACTGCTACTGCTACTGCTACTGCTACTGTAACTGCTACTGCTACTTACTACTATTACTTACTCCTACTACTACTACTACTACTTACTACATTACTAATACTACTACTACGACTTACTCTTACTATACTACTACTACTACGACTACTCCCCCATATTACTACTAATACGACTACTAATCAAATACTTTTTCTCACGATTGCTACCACTACTACTACTATACATTAATACTTACTACACTACTCGTGACATACTACTACTATTAATCCAAGTTTACTACTACTTACTACTACTACTACTTACTACTACTACTACTTACTACTACTACGTACTACTACTACTACTTACTACTACTACTTACTACTACTACTTACTACTACTAATTACTACTACTACTACTTACTAATACTACTTACTACTACTACTTACTACTACACTTACTACTACTACTTACTACTACTACTACTTACTACTACTACTACTTACTACTACTACGTACTACTACTACTACTTACTACTACTACTTACTACTACTACTTACTACTACTAATTACTACTACTACTACTTACTAATACTACTTACTACTACTACTTACTACTACGAATTAATGAATTACTACTACTACTACTACTACTACTACTACGACTACGATCTACGACTACTACTACTACTACTACTACTGACTACTACTACTACTTACTATACTACGACTACCTACACTCTTACTTTACTCACTACTACTACTACTACCAACTACTACCACTAAGACTACGACAACTACTACTACTACTACTACTACGACTACTACTACTACTCCTACTACCTCTACGGCTACGACTACGACTACGACTACGACTGCTACTACGACTACTACTGCGACTACTACTACTACTACTACTACTACCACTACTACTACTACTACTACTACTACTACCACCACTACTGCTACTACTACTATTACTACTACTACTACCTCTGCTACTACTACCACTACTACTACTACTACTACTACTACTACTACTACTACTACTACTACTACTACTACTACGACTACGACTACTGCTACTACCATCACTACTACTAGGACTACCACTGCTATTACTACTACTACTACTACTATTACTACTACTACTACTAGGACTACTTCTACTACAACTACTACTACTACTACTACTACTACTACTACTACTACTACTACTA